GCTGTTGCCGTTGCTGCTGCTGCTGCAGACAGCAACTTCTTTGCCGTCTCCCTTAACATCAGCAGCAAACCCTGCAGCAGGGAGGTTCTCCATTTCAGTGTTTCTGCTGTTGCTGTTGCTGCTGCTGCTGTTGCTGCTGCTGCAGCTGCTGCTGTTGCTGCTGCTGCTGCTGCCTCGCGTGCTCTGCCAGGCTGTGTTACGGCGACCCCACCTCCAAGGCATTTGTGCAAATAAACAACAAAGACAAGAAAAAGCAATTATATGAATTCTTTTGCTGCTGCTGCTGCTGCTGCTGCTCTTGCTGCTGCTGCTGCTGCTCGTATTGATCCTGCTGATGCCGGTGCTGATGCTGGTGCTGGCGGTGCTTGTGTTGTTGTTGGTGCTGTTGCTTGTCTCGCGATGTTGCTGCTGTTGCTGCTGCTGCTGCTGCAGCACGAAAAGGTTTGCTGCTGCTGCTATTAAGAAGAAAAAGAGTTATTTATTTATATAAAAAAAAATAAATAATAAATAAACTTTTCTTACCTTTTGTCTTTTTATAAGGGGTAAAAGGAAGCAAAAGAAGGGGGAGCAGCAGCAGCAGCTCCAGTGGTTCTCTGCTGCTGCTGCTGCTGCTGCTGCTGCAGCAACAGCAGCAAATATACACCTCTTTAAAAGAAAGACAAAGTTGCTGTGTGCTGATTAATAATAGTTTGCTGCTGTTTATATATGCTGCTGCTTTTATTATTATTCTTGTTGTTGTTGCTGCTGCTGCTGCTGCTGGAGTTGCTGCAGTTGCTGCTGCTGCTGCTGCTGCTGCTGCCGGGTGTATATACACCGTACGGTGGTGCATCGACGGTCTACGCAGAAGCAGCAACAGGAAAAGAGGATAAAGACATCATTATTTATTTATTTTTTTATTTATTTTTATTTATTTTATTTATTTTTATTATATTATAATTAATTATACAAAAAAATAAAGAAAATAATGAGAGAAAGCTGCTGCTATATTATTATTTGCTGCTCCTGTTGCTGCTGCAGCTGCAGCTGCATATACACTGCAACTATATATATAAGATATATACCGATTGCTTCTTCCTTATTTATTTATTTATTTATTTATTATTTATTAATTAAATAAATTAAATAAATAAATAAATATAAATAAATAAATAAATAAATAAATATAATTATATTTCTTCTTATTTCTTTTATATATAGTCTTCTGTGCTGCTGCCGCCTATTTGTCTTGTCGTGTGCTGCTGCTGCTGCTGCTGCTGTTACTGTTGCTGCTGTCGATGTGTCTGCAGCAGCAGCAGCAGCAGACAGGATAGTAAAAAGTGTCTCTTTTTATTAATTAAATTGTCTCCTTTTTTATTTATTATTTTATTTAATTAAATAAAAATAAAAAAGAAAATTGTCTCCTGTCTCCTTTTCTATGTCTGTATTTGCTTTGCGACGGGCAGCTATCGATACACCTGCTGCTGCTGCTGCTGCTGCTGTTGTTGTTGTTGTTGTTGCTTCTGCAGCAACAGTTGCTGCTAAGGAGATAGATGTTGTTAGTAGGTAGGACTACATCCACTAGTGACGTGAGTAGGGAAGAGACAGCAGCAGCAGCAGCAGCAGCAGCAGAAGCAGCCGCAAGGCGGCAGCAGACAGCAGCAACAGAATAGCAGGCAGGCAGCAGCAGTAGAACAGATAGTAGCAGCAGCAGAGAAGATACGAGCAGCAGCAGAAGCAGAGTAGCAGCAGCAAAGCAGAGAACAGCAGCAGCAGGGTTGACAGCAGCAGCAGCAGCAGCAGAGACGACAGCAGCAGAACTTCTGCTTTGTTGCATGCATGCATGCATGCAGTAAACCCAAATTGCTGCTGCTGTCTCCTTGTAAACCCTAATTGCTGCTGCTGCTGCTGCTGCTGCTGCTGCTGTCTCCTCGTAAACCCTAAAGCTGCCTCTGCTATATGAGACACAAACCTAAACCCTAAACCCTAAACCCTAAACCCTAGGGAGGAGGGTTTCCTATAGGAGGAGACAGCTAAAAAACTAAATAAAAAGGAGACACATAAAAAGGAGACAGATAATATAAATAAAAAAAGGAGACAATAAATAAATAAAAGGAGGAGACAATAAATAAATAAAAAAAGGAGACAATAAATAAATAAAGAAAGGAGACAATAAATAAATAAAAAAAGGAGACAATTAAATTGCTGTGTATAAATATATTAAAGGGGAAAAAGAATGTCTATTTCTCTGTCTTTGTATGTGAGCTGCATGCATGCAACCCACTGCTGCTGCTGCTGCTGCAACTGCAGCAGCAGCAGCAGCAGCAGCAGCAGCAGCAAAGAGAAGACACGGATGTCTGTTATTAATTTATCTCTTGATAAACATTTAGAGACAGATGCAACACAACAGACAACAGCAACTGCTGCTGCTGCTCTTTTGCTGTTTCTCCTGTTGCTGCTGCTGTTTCTCCTGTTGCTGCTGCTGCTGTTGCTGTTGCTGCTGTTGCATGAAGTATATATATAA